TAAATTGATGTAAGCAATGACATCAAATTAATTTAGGTGTGAACATATAGGCTAATATTTAATTTTCAACACAACATACTCCCTTGTCTCCTGAACTTTAATCCAATGAAGAAATGCAATTCTCCAAGATCTTTTAAGGAAAACTTTTATCCAAGAAGGCTAACAACCTCTGCTATATTATAATCATAACCTCCTGTGACAACAATGTCATCCACGTATATTAGCATATATGTATATACCCCAGTTGTGTTTCAGACAAATAGAGAGGCATCGGCCTTTGAGTTAATGAAGCTAATGTCCAACAAGTAGCTTTTTAATTTTGAATACCAGTTTTGCGGTGCCTATCTCAGATCGTATAGTGTTTTTTCTAGTTTGCAAACTAGTGTGGAACCATTTGAAGCAGTTTGTTTGAACCCACGGGGCTGCCCGCATGAAAACTTCCTCGTGCAAATCACCATTAAGGAAGGCATTTTTGACATCAAGTTGCCTAAATTTCCAGTTGTTCGTTACTGCAAGAGACAATACTAAATTTACCGTGGTTGGTTTGATTACCGGGCTAAAAGTGTCACCAAAGTCTTGGCCAGTACTTGAGAAAATCCTTTGGCCACAAGATGTGCTTTGTATTTATGTATGGATCCATTGGGATTTTTCTTGATTTGGAATATCCATTTGCAGCCAACAACCGATCTACCAACTGGTAGGGGAACCAAGGACCATGAGCTGTTGTTTTGCAAGGCATCAAGTTTAGCCAGTATTGCTGCTTTCCAATTTAGTGAAGTTAGAGCTTCATGAACAGTGACTGGTACCTTTCCTTTATTACAAAAGAGGCAAGGTACATTTTTTGTTTGAAAATGACATCTTTGCTACGTGTTTGCATGGGATGCATGTTAATAGGACCAACATCATCAAGGTCTTGTCTACTAATAGTTTGAATTTCATTAGACTGATGCGATGAATCCGAGTGCCTCTCACCCGATTGAGAAATTGATTTAAGTTGTACTTCATCTGATTGTGACGGTGAGTGAGTTACATTGGGAGCTACTTCTTCACTCTCACGAGAAACATTACTCGGACTAAACTGACTTTGCATATCATGGAAAAAAGGTTCCAAGAAAGTGTAGGTTGTTCACTGGATTCCAAATTCATGCCTCCACCACTTGGCAGTGGAATATTATCACTTGTAGGAACAAGTGTCCTGTGAGTAATACGATCAGCACCAGGCACAATAGGAATATTTGTGGACCACCCTTGATTGTTGTTCCATCCTTTGTAACAATTCTTGCAGAGTTTGTCATTTATTAGTTTGCATAGCAAATGGGAAACATTCTTCATCAAACACAACATGTCAAGAAATGAAGATCTTACCCGATGGAGCCATGCAGATCGACCCTTTGTGTTGTTGACTGGGCCCAAGATAAATGCACGGTTGTGACCGAAATTCAAATTAATGCTGCTGAAAGGGTCGAAGCAATGGAAAACATTGACATCCAAATATTCTTAGTTCACTATAGTTAGGCTTCTTGTTCAACAGTTTTTCATACGGGGTGTACCATGCAAACACTCGAGTAGGAAGTCTGTTGATTAAATGAACTGCCATACTGACAGCATATGACCAAAAATTATATGGCAAGGATGCTTGCGCTAGTAAAATAAGAGATAACTCAACAATGTGACAATGTTCTCTCTCCACTACGCCATTTTGTTGGGATGTATGTGGAAAATAAACTCTATTCTTGATCCTGGTAGATAAAAGTTCGGTTGACAATGAGCGATATTCACAACCCCAATCACTTTGAACTTCCTTGATGACACCATTAAACTGAGTTATAACAAGTTGCTTCAGCAACTTAAAAGCAGTCAAGGCTTGTGATTTGTTCTTCAATAGATAAACCCAAGTATGCCTAGTTTTGGCCTCAACAAATGCAACATGGAGGTCAAGAAGATCAGTGAAGTTTGAGTTCAAGCCGATGACGAATCTTGACACAATTTCCTTTTCTTCTTCAGTTAAGTTAGCCCTATTGAGTAAGGACTGCATCTCCTTGTAGTAGTCTTCAATTGAACTTCTACCTTGTCGAAGTTAGTGTAGTCGTAGTTTAACTTCTCGTGTATAATGTGTCGGTAGGAATCACTTCCTCATGGTTTGTTTGAGGTTAGTCCAAGAAGTGATTGCTTGAATTTGGAAGTTCTCGATCTTTTTCCTTGTTTGCATCTACCAAGTTCGAGCATATCCTTTGAATTGCATGGTGATGAGGGGAACTTGTTTAGCTTGGGGGCAGTCATGGTATGTGAACATGAGATCAACTTTTCCTTCCCAATCGATGTACCTGTCCGGATCGTTGTCTCCTTTGAAAGATGGGATCGTGAACTTTGGTTTTGCAAAGAGTTCGAGTGCTTGCAAACGTGCATGGTTGTTCTTGCCTGGGTACCAAAAGTTTAGCATTGTTTGGTCTTGGATTCTGGTTTGGTAGATCCAGTTGTGGTTCTTGTCATTCTCTCATGGTATTGTTAAGTTCATCAAATCTTCTAATTTGAGTCGTGCAAGTGCGGCTAAGATAGCCGTAAGTGTCTTGTTGTTATTGTCGCCCATCCTGAAATCATAATACTCAAAAGAAAATTTTAAAGTAAAAAAAAAAATCAACAAAGCAAGAAACCTCACAAGTCACTCCAAGAAAGTAACATAGCGAGAGGCAAGTAAGCCGATCTTGTACTCTTTAAAACTCACTTTACCAAGTAGTCTTCTAGAGTTCGTATCGGAGTTTGATCACTAGCAAAGACAATAAGAAAACCTAAAAACTATAAGAGGCCAAACAAGGTTTAGACTCAAAGAGAACGAGAATGCAAAGAATGAAGAAGTATGCAAACTCTTTAATCCTACTAACACCAGAAAGATAATGTGTTAGATAATGCAAAAGAACAATAAAAATGAAAACAAAAGAACCTAAAGCACTAAGAGTAAAAGAAAAAAAAAGAACTAAACCAGAAACCTAGAAAACGCTGGATCAACTTGAGCAATGTTTTTGAGGGGGTTACCGGTGTCCAGAAATTTTGGAAAAATTCTTGAATTTCTTTCAATGTGTCTAGAAACCACCCGTAAAATTTCAGAACCAAATACCTTCAGTAGTATCTAGTAGACTTTGTTGAACGGTGAGTCCTCAAACAATCTATTTTTCATGATCGCTTTGTTCGAAGGTGTTCTTGATCTCAAATTTTTTTTATTTTTGTGTGAATGATCTTCAATATATGAAGTTTCAATCTGGAAATTTTCAACACAAAATTACTCCTATAGAATTTTCAATAAATTTCGATAAGATTCTAGATCGAATCTGCTGATGAAACTTGAATGATGTATTTGAAGGCTCTAATGAACTTCGATTGGGGTGAATTTTGGAATGAAGATTACTCTTAGGATGAATATGAGATCTGGATAAAATTATCCCTAAATTCCTTCATTTGCAATTTTTGAAATTTTGGCTTTTTCGGCCATTTTTTTGTTTTTTTTTGCTCTGATACCAATTAATAGGGAAGCGGTGGCAGATTAACGTGTTCTTGTTGAAGAATCAAACCTAGAAAGATCTAGACTCGATGAAGAACAAAGGGGATGAATAGGGGAATGTGGCGACAACAGGTAGGATTCTTTAGGGTTTCTTTTAGGTGCTGGAATCAAAGCATTAAGATTAAAACAAAATAAACAAAAGATAAAGAAATTGAAAATAAAATAAGATAATAAAGAAATCAAAAGATCTCCCTTATGAAAGAGAACAGTAAAGATGATTGATGGTGCAGATGGATTTGTGGAAAATAGATGGATAAGTGTCCTATCAAACCCTCCTAGTCGCAATAAAAATACAAACTCGATAAATGGATCTAACCAACCCTCTTAGTCGCGATGAAAAGGTAAACTGGAGTGTAAAGATTAATCTCCCTCACAAGAACTTGAAAGAACTCCAGGAGAAGAAGCTTCGAAGGCACAAGACAATCAACACTTGCAAAAACGAACTCTCATTATATTATTAATCAAAGAAATTTGTTTTACAAAGTTAAATGAAGCCTCCTTTATATAGGGGATGAGTTCTAAAGGTCCTAAATAACTAATGAATAAAATAATAACAAACTAAACATGTCTTATCTCTAATTCCTAATAAAATAATAATAACTAAAAATAATGTTTTAACTTAACCTTAATTCCTAATAAAATAATAAATCTAATCCTAAAATATAATGCATCATCCTATATTAAATTATATTACAAATAATCAATATAAATATTGAAAATTAGTAATACAAAATCACATATTAGTCTCGTATAGGAATTTCTGCATGTGCCGTCTTCACTAAAATGGACGTATCTTGAGTTCTCGATATTGGATTGATGCGATTCAAGAATCGTTGGAAAGATAAGAGACAAATGGTTGTATATCCAGAGACATGTTGACCAAATAAGATCAGGATCTCATTCAAAAAGTCATCGCAAGTCTGCTGATGTTCTGGTCTTCTTTTCCAAGGTTTGGACGAGTGGATCATTTGGAAGATTTATTACTTCTTCCTTTGATGTGAGTCTTGTGATGCATGTATCAAAAACACTATTATATGACTGTGACACTCGCAATAGTCGTAATAGCGCCCACTATGCCCGTGATATAGCGGTAGCGGTGCCCTCCGAAAACGCGACCACAGCCGCAATTTGAATCCTTGCATCAAGCACAAACGTAACTATAAAAACACCCTCTAGCACCATAAGTGCCTTCTTTTGTTTATTTAAATTGACAATTCTACTTTTAGGTTTCAGTTTCCTTGAGACAAGACCAGACCTGAAAGCAAACTGCTAAACAAAGTATACATTCATCGACTGCGATTGATTATAAATTATAAGATAAACAACTCAAAATATAGTGTTATTCGAAAAGAACGAGTGACCCTTATTCCCACTAAAGGCGTTGAAGAATGTCAAAAGCAAGCATTTTTCCCAAGGAAACACACAAAATTTCCCTACAGTAATGATTTCTAAAAGACAATTTTTTTTTCTATTATGTATATTACAGGGGAATATAAAAGCTTCATTTTCCAGTAGTTTAACTTGAGAATTCGATTGAATTATACACACATATTTATTATTCACTTGGATTTGTAGTCAGATATGAATCTTAGTAGCAGCATCAACTACCGAGCTAGAAGAAACTGTGACCAAACTCACCAATTTTAACTTCAATTAATCTTTCAGAAATCATTTCTAGATTTGGATTGTTTATTTTTTTCCCCTAAACTTCTAAAGGATGGAATCTCTCTGCTTTCATAGCACTTTTTTTTTCATCTTTTCTTTAGTTCTTCCATCTTTGGCACGAGTTTTGTTTCTTCTATTTCTTCTCTGTTCGCTGTTGGTTGTATACTGGTTCCCAAATTTCATATGGCAAAAATGGAGAATGAATTAGCTGGTTTATCTATTGGCAGTGGTGAGGAAGATATCCAGGAAGCTGAGTTACCGGAATCTGATATGTAGGTGAACTATGCTTTTTGCTTTGTTGGCCTATTTCTTACTAGTAGTTTAATTAATTTGCAATCGATGAGATCCACATTGGCTAATGCCTGACATCCGTTTGGAGGAATTTCAGTGTTCGAGTTGAGCGAGGCCGATTCTTATTCTGATTGTACAATGAAGTTGATGCCGATATAATTGATTCCGGGGTTGTTGGAATTTTAATTCTCATATCCTTATTCATCACAGATTCAAGGAATGAGAAGATTCCAAGCTGATCGATTTAACTAGACTATGTTATTGGATTCTGATTCATGATATTCCACCTGGTTTCAAGTCTGAAAGAATTGCTCGTTCTCTTGGTAATTTTCTTAGCTCTTTCTTGGAGTGTGATTCAAAACTTGTATCTCTTGGTATTAAGGGTATTATGCGCATCTACGTTGGTATGGATATCTGATTACCATTTAAAAGACGAAAGAAGTTACTCTTGATGAAGGATAAGATCTATTTTGTTCTTTTTGAATATAAAAACCTCACCTTATTTTGTTTTATTTGCGGACGATTGGGTCATGGTGAAAATTTCTGCCCTGTTAAAGTTGCTAAAAGGTGCAACAAACATTACTCGTGATTGGATATCTCACTTCGAGCCCCGCTCTGATGAGCTATGCCGTCGCCAAGCATTTTGTTGAGATAGTTGATTGATTTGGGGCCCATGATTTAGGGGATTCTTCTGGAACAAATATTGAAGCAAATGAAGCTGTCGAAAATTTAATTCCATCTCAATCTATGAAATAAAATTCCACAGATTTGGTGATTGGTGGTAATAAAGGAAAGTCAACTCAATTCCCTCCTCTATTCTTTCTCACGGTATGAAATCACTTGAGCCAAGTCACGGTCCAATTTACATTATGGATGTACTCATGGAACCAATTGGAGAGGAGAACCCTCTTAAGCCTACTGAAGTAACCAAACGTCCAAGAGTTCTAGCTATTACATCAGGAGTTTCTCGTAAACTAGATTTGAATGATGGCTCTTCTTTTTAATAGGCAGGCCTTTATCAACAGGCTAGCCGCTCGCAATGAAAATAATGAGTTAGAACGTCTGTGGTTTAGGGAAGCTACGGGCCGTCAGACGTATTAGAAACAAACTAAGAGAAATTTGTCCCCAAATTTTGTTTCTTATAGAGACAAAATTATATGCTAAATGTATGGAGACTGTCAGAAGAAGGTGCTGGTTTCATAACGGGATAGATATTACTGCTGAGGGGTCCTGTGGTGGTTCATTTAATGTTGGTCACAAGATATTATGGTTACGCTCTGTAGTTTCTCTTCTTCGCACATAGATGTTACTATTTTGTTTCAGGCTAATCTAGCATTTGAAGGCTCCCAGGATTTTATGGAAGTCTGATTACTAGTCAGAGGGAAGTATCTTGAAATTTACTTCGGTCTTTGGGCAATGACTAGAGTATGCCATGGTTAATAGTTGGAGACTTCATTCATTTTACAGGAAAGCGAAAAGAAGGGAGGTCGAGTTCATTCCACCAAACAAATGAATGCTTTTCGCTCTGCCTTGGATGATTGTGACTTAATTGATTTGGGTTATGTTGGGCATTGGTATACTTGGGAAAAAGGATGCCTCTCTGCAAACAACGTTCGAGAAAGGTTAGAGAAGGGTGTTGCAAACCCTGCCTGGTGGGAGGTTTCCCAAATTTCTCTCTCGGGCATCTATCTCATACGATTTCTTATCATTGCCCCATTTTGGTTGACACATGTGATACAGTTGATGGAAACCCAAATTCATTAGTAAACTCTTTCCGATTTGACGCTAACTGAATTTTGGAAGATGATTTTCAGAAAGTGATTCGTTTTTGTTAGTGTTCTTTGGATGGTAATATTCCCTCAAAACTCAAAAAAGTATCGAAATCTAAAAGTTCGACGCTCCCATGCCACAAACTCTCTTAAAGCAAGATTGGAATCTGTCTTAGTAGACCCAGATGATGAAAACTTGGCTGAACTGCTTGAAGTCAAGTTAGCTCTTAATTTAGAATCATATGAAGACAAACTCTTCTAGGAACAACGAGCTAGAGTCAACTGGCTCCGACAGGGACATCAAAACATGTCTTTCTTTCACAACTGGGCTTCATATCAGAAAAATAAGAACATGATCCATAAACTGAAAAATGCGGATGGAACTTGGGTTAAAAAGGATGCATCCATGTCTCCTATGGCCAATGTTTATTTTCGGGATATCTTCACTTCTCAACCTATTTCAGATCCTACCATTATTTTGGATAAGATTCAGCCTTCTATTACTCCCAAGAATAATTCTATTATTTTGGAAACAGTATCGAAGGAGGAAGTGTACACTACAGTCAAGCAAATGGCCCCGTTAAAGGCTTCGAGTCTAGATGGTTTTTCTACTCTTTTCTATCAGCATTATTGGCACATTGTTGATAACTCTCCAAAAGAGTATCATTTAGAACCTTTTTACTTAGGTTTGAGCTTGTACTTTAGTATTTTTAGGTTCACATTTAGAATAATTTAGTATATTTTATATCATTTGCATATTAGGAGTGAGTTGGTATTTTTGGGCTAAATGTGATGATTTTACTGTGAATTTACTACTCTGATGATGTGATGATTTTGGGCTAATGTTGTAGGCATTGCTATAATCTGATACAAGACAGAATTGATGAGGCGTTGTTGTAGCAATCGGCACGTCACTAGGTAGTTAGAGAAATTTTAGGAATTGATAGCTTCTACGGAAAAAGAGATGGAATTTAAATTTAAAGAAGGAATTTCAGAAAAACTAAACTTTCTTATTGGTGAAAAGTTTGACCTTGATGGGATATAAATATATTATTTTCTACACAGTTTATTCATCATTGGAAAACTCTAATTTTCATAACCACCTTTTATTTTTCTCTCTCACAACCTCCATGGAAGCCTAAAAACCTTTGGAAAAACAACACTTGGATGTGAAGCATATTACAACCATGAGATTGGTGACTGACGATCGATTAGGCGTCATCTTATTAATTTATATCGAACTTGAGAAAGAGGGTTTATTTTATTTAAGATGATTTTTTTTTATTTTATGTTGAGATGTTAAACTCGGATCATTTATTTTAAATATATGCAAGGAATTTCATGTTTATTCGCTTAGCTTTAGTAACTTTGACTGGTGTTTCTTGAGATTTATTTTCAGCTTGTTTGTAGAGATATAAACTATCTAGTAATGTCATGAGAGTGGGTTACAACATGAGTAACATCAGTGTCTGCTAGAGCATCATTTAGCATAAAAGAGATTTTTGTTGACTATTTTGTCGTAATATCCTTAGTGAGCTTATTTGGATTGTTGTAGAGATATAGTCTTTCCTTATGAGTTGTTGGTGAATATTTTCGAGAGAAGAATAATATGCTAGGTTAATGCTAAACACATCAATTTTGTTGCTACAACATTGTTAATTGCATGTTGTTGTTTGACATTTCATAATCTTTTTCCTGAATCAATCATTGCTTCATTTACTTGTTCTGTAATCCCTATTTATTCTATTCTATTTTTAATTACATTGCTACAACATCACTCCCTACATAAACTATACACAATTTTATTATTGTTGCATGAAAATTTTGTGAAGTAATACTAATCCCTGCGGATACGATACATCCAATCTTATCAAATAGTATCTTCCTTTCTCAAGTAAAGAACTACAAAATACGATTGAATCTAGATCGGTCACCGCTGCTACACGACGTTGCTCCCCAGCTGTTGCTACACTCCCCGACGGTGGGTTTAGGCGGCCATGGTCAACGGTAAAATAGAAAAATAAAATGTGGCCATGGAAATTAAGGTTTTTCTAGGATGAATAAAGTGTGTAGAAAGTAATATATTTATAGCTCATCAATGTCAAGCTTTCCACCAATAAGAAAGTTCCCTTTTACTTATAATTCCTTCTTTAAATTTAAATTACATCCCTTTTACTGCAGATCTTATCAATTCCTAAAATCTCTTTAACTTTCTGGTGACATTTCGATTGCTACAACAACGAATCAACAATTTTGTCTTGCATCGGTTCACAACAATGCCTATAGCATGAGACAGAGTCACAGCATCAGAGTAGCAAATTCACAACAAAATCATCATAATTAGCCCAAGTACCAACAATTATCTCCCAATATGCAAATGATGTAAAATATGCTAAAATTACTCTAAATATGATCCTAAACATGCTAAAGTACAAGCTTAACCTAAGTAAAAAGTCTCTAAATAATAACTCTTTTGAGGAATTATCAATTGTAAGAGATAAACTTGCTGCATGTTGTATTTCAATTCTTAGTGATACTTGTGATTTAAGTGAGATAAATATTACGAGTATTTTCTTGGTCCCAAATTGAATCCGCATCGACCATGGAACATTTTTCCCCTATCAGTCTATGTCATGTTTTGTACAAGATTATAGCTAAGGTCATTGCTAATCAGTTATGGGATTTTTTTATATTTTCGTTGTATTGATCAGACTTAGAGTGCTTTCGTTCCCGATAGATTGATATTGGATAATGTGTTGATTACGTATGAGCTTATGCATTCCATAAAAATTAAAATGTTTGGTGCAAAAGGGGCATTTAGGCTAAAACTTGATATGACAAAGGCATACGACAGAATTGATTTGAGTTTCTTGAAAAGTACTCCTCTTTGAATGGGATTTAATTACAGAGGCTCTCGATGATAATGAGATGTGTCACTACGATCTCATATTCAGTTAAGTTTAATGGTTATAATGGTGATCCTTTTCTCGCCACTCGTGGTCTTCGACAAGATCGTCTGAGTCCCTATTTATTGCTCATTTGTGTTGAGGGCTTATCTTCTATTCTTCATTATACGAAGGCTACTGAAACTATTTCAGGTACAAAAGTTGGGAAATATGGGATGCCAATCACTCGCAAAAGACAACATTTTATCTGGTTAAAGCTCATTACTCGAAGCAGCACGAATCAAAGATTTAATACTGCTTATGAGCAAGCTTTGGGTCAGTCGGTAAATTTAATAAATCAACCATTTATTTTAGCGGTAATGTTTTTGATGTTCTAATAAATTCCATTGATAATCTATTTGGATTTCGTATCTCGGCAAACCCTGAAAAATACCTTGACTTGTCGAATATAGTGGGACATAATAAGAAAGAGGCTTTTAATGACTTATGCGATAAACTGAATAAGAAAATTGATAGCTGAAGTATCAAACATTTACCGATGGGAGGGAAGGAAATTTTTATTAAATCAGTATTGCAGGCCATCCCATTTTATGCTATCCAATGTTTTTTATTTCCAAAATTTTTATAGCGAGAGATGAAGACTATTATGAACAGATTTTGGTGGCGTAATAAAGCTACAAAGAAAGGGATTCACTGGAAAAGTTGGAGAATTCTTAGTTTACCAAAAAAAGCCGGTGGAATAGAATTTCTCGATCTAGCGAAATCTAATATAGCTTTGTTAGCTAAACAATGGTGGAACTTTATTAACAACCCAGACAACTTATTGGCACGAGTTTATAAAGCCAAGTATTACCAAGTGGAGATTTTCTTTTAGCAAGACAGGGTTCTTACCCTTCATAGACTTGGAAAAGTACGTGGTGCACACGAGGTCTCTTTAAGCAGGGCTTGGGTTGGAGAATTAGTTATAGGCCAATTTTGAGCATTTAGAGAGTTTAGAGACTTAACTCTGAATTTTCTCATCTTTAGGCAGTAAAAAATAATAAAAAAATAGAAAATGTGTAACTAAGGGGTTTTAAACCACTGAACTAATGCATGGCTAGTAATATTCCTACCATCTACACTAAGTCACTATTTATGATATAATTATCTAAAATAGCTTTTAAAGTTACCATATCCGGGTTATAACCCAAAGCCCATTCCTCCTCCAATTTAGATTTGAAAACCATAAATCACTAAATTCCCAAACCCCCCAAATCCCTAGCCACTGTCGGCCCCTTGACCAAACCACCACCGCCTGGTCGCCATTGAGCGCACTGCCACCCTCATCCGACTCGCCATCGATCAATGACCAAAATCTATCCACTATCTCGGTGAAAGACGACGTCGTTCGCTATAGAATTCACCGCGAATCCTCGTTGGAGAACCAAGACGACCGTCGCAATTTTTTCATTTTCAGGTTGATTCCATGGACGTTGCAGCACACTACTACTCCCATTAGTTTCCCCGTCACCGTGCTCTCTAAACCCAACCCTTGGGTCACTCCTTCATCGTCGTTCTCCTCCGCTACCGTCGAGGGTAAGCTCCAGTCACTTTTCGTTTCAGTTTATTTTGCGCTTGAATGAAATTTTAAATAGATTTGGTCTGATTCTTGTTT